CATGACTACCAATATGGAACTTCTTTTAATCCGGGGCATTCGCACTTCTATCATGTTGTCAAATATTCCAACCAGCTAAACCAATACTTCGTTTACATCGCACTGACAAATATTTAACAGTTGTATCGAAGTCATGAAATTAATGCATCAATTAAATTACATGAGCGTTTAATTAATCGCGGCCGGAATAATTAATTTGCTTGCGAAACCGTAAAATCAAGCCGCTCGAATTCAACCATCGGCTTAACGCAAACGACGTTTAAATTACTTCCCACGGCCTGGCGCTTTTAATTTTATTATTACACGATTCTATCTGAAAATGAAACACGAGAATAAATCGACGCTGTGGGGAAACACGATTAGAGGAGCAGACCGGAATGATAAAACGTTCGTAAGGCGAATTACGCTGATCGTCGCGTCCTCGTGGTCGCCTGAGATAACGGGCCAATGATATCGGCCAATTAATACACGCATATATACACGCGGCGGAAATTTTCGAGCGCATCGAAACGCAGCGTATCGTCGTGCCTTTAAAGCACGTCAACAAGTACAACAACGCGCGCGCGCGCGCAGCGATGAATGGCCGTTAAATCACCGTGTGGGCCAACGACCAGCCGCTTCCCGCGAGATAAAAGTATACAAGCTGGAAGATAAGTCGCGACGGATTCATCCTGCCGAAGACGTGTGGGTGCTCCACGCCGGAAGTGGAGCCCTGGTGGATGCTACGGGCGCGACACCGACGTCGACACGGCACTGCTCGTTCTCGCGAAAGCCGAATTTATCCATTTCCCCTCTTATCTACCTCGCCAAAAGCGCCAAAAGTATTTTCTCTCTACGTTTAATTTACCAAAACGTTTAATTTCTCCAAACCAGACCCCGATTTCAACTTCAAACACCTCTGAAAAATTTTAGATGAAAAATTTTATAAACGTTCGTTTAAATAAAAGTTCGAAAACAGACTCCTTATAATTCAATCCGCGATTAATATGATACGGAGAAAAACAATCTGCTGGTCGTCAAAAGCGCCAAAAATATTTTCTCTCTACATTTAATTTACCAAAACGTAATTTCTCCAAACCAGACCCCGATTTCAACTTCAAACACCTCGGAAAAATTTTAGATGAAAAATGTTATAAACGTTCGTAAATTAAATAAAAGTTCGAAAACAGACTCTTTATAATTCAATCCGCGACTAATATGACACGGAGAAAAATAATCTGCTGGTCCAGCAAATTTTCTGCTGGTCTAGCAAAATCTTTTCGTTATTATATGGACAGCAAAAAGATTTGCTAAGAATACTAATCACTATTTGCTGGATATAATTTGCTGAATCTACAAATTATTTTGCTATAAGAACCACGATGGATTTATATAAGCAGTTGTAGTTTTGCTCCGATAGCAAATAGATTTGCTTAAGGATACATTATTTTGCATCAATGCACTGTAAAAACTGATATGTTAAATTTAACATTTCATGTGTCCTAAATCATCCACTCTCATTTATGTAAATTTAACACAAAACAAATGTGGTAAAAAGTAACATGCATAATATGGAAAAAACTAACACAAGAATTTAATACTTGAATATCGTCAGGAATCACAGTTTGTGTTGAATTGGCATATGTATAATGTTAAATTAACTAAAATAAAACGTTACTTTAACACTTGAGAGAAGTATTAATCTACGGTTTTGATAAAATAAAAATGTTAAATTGATATAATCAATGTCTGATATATTAAATATGTCAATTTAATACAACCTGTGATTCCTAACGGTATTCAAGTGTTAAATTCTTGTGTTAATTTTTTCCATATTATGCGTGTTACTTTTTAACACATTTGTTTTGTCTTAAATTTATACATAAATGAGAATGGATGATTTGGGACACATGAAATGTGCTGAATTTAACACATCAGTTTTTACAGTGTAGCAAATTAACGTGATTCTTAGGACAAATGCACTTAACATATTTTTTTTATTCTGGCAACGAAACTACTTCTCTACGAATAACGAATAATTTGTAAAATTAGTTACGTCAACTAAATTTTTTTGATGTCGCTACGAATATGCAGTAGCAACGACGATTTTGCTAAAAGAGCAAAATTATTTTTTTCCGTGCAAGAGACGACACATCTATGGCAATTGAGTTAACTTTAGTTTAAGAGAGAAAAATATAAACTTTTGTCAGGGGGACGCCGGCATATTTTAGTTTAGTGCCCTTGTGTACAGGACTTTCAATTTCGGAGAAAAAATATGCAATCACATGGAGCGTCTTTGATTTAATAAATGAATAATATGTCTTTCTTCATTCGCGGAATACAATCTCGACGTCGCGCCGCGATAGGAGATAGTATCACGATGCTAAATGTCAAACTGAAAGAACGAAAGAGAAAGAGCCGTAAAAACGCCTCGGAACATCAGCATCGTTCAACGACGATAAAGGGAAAGAAGGAGATAACTAACAGGTCATGCGAGCCGGCCGCCTTCGTGAACAATGACGAATGGTGTCGTGGGGAAAGAGAGAAAAAAAACAGAAAAAAGAGGGAAACGAGAGAATCGCGGGTGTGAGTGCATTAAATAAAGCGGCGGGATAAAAACATTGATACAGAAGTATCAAAATGATTCACACACAGGCATGGCGCGACACGCCGGAAGTCACTGATTGTTCCGAGGGGTGGTGAACTCTGTGTCCCTGCCCCAAGGGGTCAATCGCCTTTTTGCCAATTAATGAGGGCGCCGAGATGAATTTTAGCGGTAACGGGAAATTAACGGATATAAAATTCACGACACTTGCCGTCAACTGACGCATGTCGCACGTGTATCACGTTTTAGTACAAGTAGTAACCGCCCGAAAGTCGAAATTTTTGCTCTACATCAATGCTGCGAATTCCGCCGAAATTTGAAAGGAACAATGGAGAACATTTCGAGATGTAACATTACACAAATTATTGTCCTCCTTTGATGCTAACAATTAATTACTGACTCTTGTATTTTATCCATAAAAGAGAAAAATAAAGGTAAAAATAAGAAATAAAAAAAAAATGGAAATAAAAACAAAAATACTAAAGTTTCCTTTTCTCCATGAGCTGTTTACTACTTATTTTACTGTTATACAAAATTTCGATAGAAGTTAAAGAGATTTAGAAAAATTAAGAAATTGCAAGAGCAAAGATAGCAGCTCAATAATGTCATTAACGATAAATGTTTAAATTTAGGTTCAATGTAACAATGCTTTGACAGGAACAGAGAGTAGACATTCAAGATGAGACTTAAAGCTCAGGAAATATCATATTAAAAACACAATATTTACGGTAGATTATCATATTAAAAACACGATATTTACGGTAGATTTTAAATTCCGACTCGAGCAGTATATAAAAGAACAAAAAATTGAAGAGAGAGAGAGAGAGAGAGAGAGAGAGAGAGAGAGAGAAAGATATATGGGTAAATAATTAAATGATATCTTGTTCAATAAATCGAGAAGCGGATTGCAAATATGGTAATTTCATTCTGATAAATCTACGATGACAATGTGACACAACCATTTGTTCGCACGCATAATATAATATTTATGTGACATATCAATGTCCGGGAATGGGACAGGTAATGTTATCTGATTACCGGACATGCGTTAATGCACATGACGGTAATGATCGAAATGTCTCATCGCATCGCGATCACATTTAACGTGCAAAATTATCGAAATGCAATCTGTTTCCCGGAAAATGCACGGTAGCACTCGCGAAAAAAAGGCAATCTAGTGATTGAAACGATAAATCGTGAATTATGATATCATAAATGTCACAAATGATAAATTCTGGTTGTAAATTGCAGTCAGACCTATAAAGCAAGAGGGAAGAGTAACCCATAATTTAATAAACATATTTCGCTAAAGTACGTTAATTCAAAATTGATGAAATTTCTCAGATGAAAATGTCCAGATTGCTCCACAATTTACGTTTATGATACACTATCTGACATTCTTTGATCAATAATGTATAATGAATACTTCCTCGAGTAGAATTTTTCAAAGGGAGGTCGTACTACATTACTGTTTTATAATATTTATTATGACTATAACTGACTCAATATACTGTGTAAAGCTATAGATGCATGATTTTATAAATTTATTTTGCAATTTTTCTAATGAAATAAATATTATAGGTTTCGTTCAATTTCAAATGGAAATCTCGCTTCGGTAAAAAAAACAAATAACGAAACTATGTTATCGTTAAATTTTTTAAAAATGGCAACATATTTACGTACGGGTTGTTTTTACAATACAGCGTTAATGGAAATATTTCAGATTTATTTTTTTTTTCTATCTCTCTCACTCAACTAAACATGCAAAGTTAAACAAAGGTTTGTAATAAATTAATTCATCATACTAAAAATATTATCATTGCAGATGCAAGAATATATATTGTGTTTATTGTTAAAATTATGATTTGTTCAGTAGTTTATACTTAATGCCATTTAAAATAAATAAAAATAAATAAAAACTATTACGAAATATACTTAATTTCATTATTTGTAATAACAAATCGTAATATTGAATTTACGAAAAATCCACACATTGTGCATAAATATAACTTGAATTATTATCAATTATTATACTATTATTTTCCTGTCATTTTAAAATAAAACTCTCCAAATCGCCTCTCAAAAATTTCCATTTTCTATCTAATAAATAAACTAAATTGCTGTAATTTTCATATCTTTTTAATAATATCTATTATCCACAAATATAACACAAATTTATTAATTTTCACTGTTATTTTAAAATAAAATTATCTCCAAATCGTCTTCCAAAAATTTCCATTTTCCATTCAATAAATAAAGATGCTATAATTTTCAAACGTAATAAATTAATGTCATTTCTTTTGGCATTTCTGTAAGATAGTATTGTTCCATATTGATCCAAGAATCCCTATCTATCTCCTATCTTTCTCTCTCTCTCAAGAAAGAAATTTTCTCCTCATAAGATGGAATTACTTACCGATCACTGCACCGCCGTCGCGACGCCTTCGGCTGTCCCATCAAAGATCCGCGATGCGATTTGGCCGTCCCATCAAGGTTATGCGACGCAAATTCGGCTGTCGCGTCAAGAATCCGCGATGCGATGTCGTCCAGGTGGTGTCAGCACAGCTGATGAGATCCTCCGATCAGCCTGACGATTCCGCGAAGGATAACTTATCACACGACATTCGCGAACGTTATAACCATTTTGCGAGATTTGCTTCCGGCAAGAAGCGCGGGAACTGCAATGTCGACTGTCCAGATCGGCGACGCGACGCGAGAAATCAACGTGGACGCCGTGCCGCATTCCCGGTTGACGCGGTTACAATCGTCGTGTGTCATTAATTAGACACAGCGACACGTAGTGACACACGATTACGCGGAGACACTCGCGCGGAAATGCTCCTCTCGCGGAAGTGCACGGACGGGAAAATGGCTGTCGACGGTGCCGGCGATCGCAAAACTTACGCGCTCGTCACGATCGAGGAGCTTGCCGTGCTCACGCGTACTCGATCAGAACGATCGCCCGATGTTAATAATATTCGGCACTCCCGAGGCTGACTGGCGCACAATGAAAAGATCTCGAGGCAGAAGCGCGACGCACATAGCGCGACGGCGAAACGCTGTTTGCCCGTTCGCGCGCGATAGGACGACTAGGGGTCGTCGCGCTCACGTACGCCGCGCGGCTGAGGTAAAGTCCCTGCGAGCACGTCGCGCGCCGCGCGGGTACAGTCCCCTCATAAATAACATACGAGTCTGAAACAAATGAAAACTGAGCAAATTCGGTTGCGTATACTCAGTCGCATTGATGCTGTACCATTCACTAGATTGATAATCACCGGAAAATTTCAACTAGCCGTGTCCGTTACTAGTTGATCGTTTTTCATGACTGTTGATTCATCAGGCAAGCGGGAATATGTCAAAACAGAAATGACATTTTGATAGATTGACGTTTCTTATATGTGTTTTTATCCAGAAGATTATCCGCTCACGTGTAACGCGCAATCAATAGAAAAAGTGTAAGAATAAGAGTAAGAAAAGAGTAAGAAAAGAGTAAGAATAAGAGTAAGAATAAGAGTAAGAATGTTAATAGAAAAAGAGTAAGAATAAGAGTAAAAATATTAGAAGTAAATGAAAAATATTTTTAAACATTTTTTTTACTTAAAATATTTATTTCGAATATAGTAGAGTAGAATATTTATTAATATTCTGGGGCGTTTATCAAATAACGAATAATTTGAGAGAAAATAGCATGAAAATGATATAATAACCCACACAGTAGAGGTGTCCAAAATATATCACAGGGATATCCTAAAGATATATTTGGGATATACGATATCTTCAAGATATCCTTATGATATATTTGGGACGTTCCTGCTGTGTGGGAAAACACGTAATATTAACACGGAAAGCTGTCAAAATGTCACTTCTATTTTAACATTCCCGTTTGCCGAATGAATCAACAGTCATAAAAGGCTAGAAATGGTCATGATCAGCTAGAAACGGACATAGCTCGTCGAAACTTTCTAGTAACTATCGATCTGATATAACGTCAATGCAACTGAATATACGAAGGGACCTAAGCATCGTAATGTACCGAGTGACATCAATCAATCATGTCATCAATCGGTCAATTTTCTTACGGAATTACCGTTACGATTAAAAATTTAGCAAGCATTATTTTTTATTTTTCGTATTCTACATTGCAAACAGTCCGAAAAAATTTTGATATTGATGAATTATTTTAATTTATATAAGAAAAATTTAAAAATTCAATTTAAAAGTTGATATTTTAATAAATTAAAGTTAAAATTTTAAAATAATTACTTTAAGAGAGAGAGAGAGAGAGAGAGAGAGAGAGAGAGAGAGAAAGAGAGAGAGAGAGAGAGTTAAAAATTAATTCATATAAAATTAAATAAGTCATTAAATAACGTCTTTAAACGTCACCTTGCTATCCAGATAGAAATGCGTGATGATCATGTTTCATCACAATGTGACTTCATACTATGACTCCAATTTGATACTTTTTTAAAGATCATTACGTGATCTCATGACATGAGTAGCAGATGCACACAAATGATGTTGCAAATTCTTGACATGATGTTGATTATTATTATTAAATGAGATATTTTTGTGACATCATAACATGTCTACATTCTGAGGCGCATATGAGCCCGCATCGGTATCTATTCTTGTCCTCATGCTTGAAGATATATGAATACAATATGAGCTCAGAATGAACACATTTTTCTATCTGGTTACTTGATGGCCTTAACGTACAATACGAAACAGATGAAAACAAATTCAGACATATATATAAAGGAACACAGCATCAAGTGATATTCTGACATAATCCCAGACAGCACAATGTCCAAAATCGGGTCATAAGATGTCTTTAAGACATCTTTAAGACAAGTTTATAAAGTATTGTCTTAAAAATGTCTTAAAGACGTCTTAAAGATGTCTTATAATCGATTTTTGACATTTATGGTATCTGGGAATGCTATACAAAGACGTGTGTGATATAAAATATATAATATCTCGAGTGCGTTTAATACATTTACTTACATTCACGTTGATTACCTTACATTCTATACATTTCCCTCTTTCTCAAGGGAGCATCGGTATTACCGACGCGACGAATCGATTTTATCGGATAGTCGTGCGCGTTTTAGTTCGGTTAAAAGGAGGCAGCTCCTCCCATCGCCCTCTATTGACAATACTAGTCGGACGATCGGGATAGATCTTTCGATCTCGCGTTCACGTCGGTCTATTCTCCTGTGACTTTTCATGACGGTGCTGTTATCGTTACATTGTCATTACGCGAGTGTGTGATAAAAAAGTTGTGTGCAACGACAACGTAACAACATACTGTTGTTAAAAGTTGCAGGATAGATCTGCTGTATATAGATTAACTGAACCGAAAAAAATACATTCCACGATTTATACACGTTATTCTCTTGTGTTATAGGTATCAGACTTGGAGAGCACAGTGACTGTGTAATTATTAGGGAAATTAATCGGCCACGACGACGCCATAATGGACTACGCGACGTACAACAAACGACAGTGAAAATTCGAACTCTGGAGACTCGGAAATATCAATGATTATCGCGAACCGCGAGCCAACAGCAATGCACAATTGCTACTATAGTCGGATAATGGCAAGTAGGATATTTGGAAATGAATGTTAATTAGAGTGTTACTTATTTAACCGCCGCAAAATCGTCTGGGTTGCTCCCACCGTCGACCGTTGGACACCAAACGCTCACTGAAAGTGGCGCGGAATACAAGTGGCGCGAACTAGGCGAAGTTGCGTCGGTAAAGAAAGTCCCCTATTTGTCGACGAGAACCAAAAGTGCGCGACCTTAATTTGACGCTCAAGTTGAATGACATGAAATTAGATCTTATGAAATCAACACGAGTTATAATATCGGTAACTAGATTTTTAATAGATGAATACAGATTAAAGTAAAAGAAATACTAATAAACGAAATTGTCCGAATCAGATCACGATCGAAGAAAATATCCGAGACGCGATTGGGTCGTTACGAAGGATAATCGGATAAATATATAAGTTTTCAATTTTTTAAAAATAAGTTTTTAAAATGTAACTATATTATATATAGTTGAATTCGGTATGAAATAATCTTTGATTTCACCGCAAGATCGCGGCGATTGTAGTCTTCTTTTTCTTTTTCTTTACATTTTATGCTTTTAATACGAATACGCCATTGTCCCTGAAGTACACATATAAAGGACGGGCGTATTCGCTACAGAATACCATCGACCATCGAACTCTTCGACGCCTTATCGGATGGTCGTTAACCCAAGTACTCGCTCGTTCTTTCCTTCCTTCCTTCCTTCCTTCTATCCTTTCCGTACACGATTCCTTTCCGCAATCATCGAGATATTCTATCGATAGCCCCTCAGAGCAAATATTCCTTCGTCAACGACGAGGCACGGAAGCGCGAACGAAAAGTTACACGAAGTATCGCCGCTGACGAACCTACCTCGCGAATAAGAATTAGTATTCCGCGAAATTTCGACGTGCACAATGTGCCTTCCAATTATTAACTTTTAAATGACTTTTCAATGAATAAATCGAAGAGAAGATAGAAATGAAATTCCCAGAGTCGAATGGTGGAATCAATTCCTTGACAAGGAGCCGTTTTCCTTCGTTTGGAGTCCAATAAATAAATTTTGGTACTAATTGATAAAGAATGTTTCAATAAGTGCTAGGAGTGAAGATTACGCTTGCGAACTCATCAGAATTCCAGAAATTTGAAATTTTGTACATTGCCCCATATTATGTCTTTATTAATATCTTTACTTAATCAATTTTTACGAGATCGTAGCATCATATTAGAAGTACCAAAACGATAATTAAAATTTCGACTTGGGCCATTTGTCATATCGGTAAAGTTCTGTCTTAATATTGAATATTTATCCCACTATTCACTTCGCAGATTGTATTCGGATTTTCTATTCCGATATGCATGCTGCGATCAATATCTGTGCCTCAATCAATGTTTTCTAGACGGATTGCCATAATTTTGCAAGAAATAGTAATAAATTTTAATTATCATTTTAGTACTTCTAAAATAGCCCTTTAAAATGGAAAAGTCTTCAAAGTAGCGGTTGCAGTAGCAAAGACACTGGACATAATATGAAGCAATTTAGGACAAAGTCCTAAATTTCTAGAATTTTGATGAGTTCACAAATGTAATCTTCACTCCCAGCACTTATTGAAACGTTCTTCGTTGATGACAAAATTCATTTGGCTCCAAACAAAGGAGAACGGCCCCTTATGAAACTTGTCATGGTGCTGCCTCATATTTCTGTTCCATTTTTTAAAACAGGGTTCAAAAGTGCTTTGAAGTAGGACAGTGTTGCGCCAACGACAAGAGTATCGGTTGCACGATGATTTAATTTGGGATAATGCGAGGCACGTACGAGAAAACGTGCGGTAACGCGATAAATGCACGTGTAAAGCATAGCAAAGGAGGACGGTTTCACGTAAAATGAGGTGGATATAGCGAGAGAGGTGTTAAGGTAACATACTGAACGGTACTAAAATTTCAAGGAAAACTCCCTCGGCAAGGAAGGAGAGAAAGAAAATTGCGATAATTAATACAAGATAATTCTCCACTTCTACAACGCCTGTGTTTAAGGTAAACGTCTCACAGACGGCTTTGTTTTCACAGCTTTGTTTTTCACAGCTTTACCTTCCCGACGAATCTCGTCCGATAGTAGCAGTCGGAGTTCCTCAGCGACGGCGACGGTGACAACGAGGACGACGACGAGGGCGAGAGAAGCGCGAGAGAAACGAGGAGAGGAGCGAGATTTTCGGGTCGGCTTCCTGCGGACCTCCACTCTGCTCCGCGTTGAACGAAGCAGAGTAGTCACGCTCGGTGAGCCTCGAGGCTCAGGCACGAGTGTGCGTTACGCCGGCGGCAGTCAGTCTCCGGGTGAGCGCGTCAACACCGCGCGGATTTGAACGACTACCCGGTGCTATGATCTAGATGGCGAGAATTGTCTGATATAACTTGGATTAGCGGCGTCGGGAGTGCGATCGATTAGGATTGACTGCCAGTTCTCAACGATACCTACCACCGTCCGTCTCTGTCCGTCACGTCGAACTCGTTCGCGCATACATCTCGGGGGAACCGATAGCACGAGACCTTCCAGAGACTCCTGTCTGTGAGTGAAATGCAGCTTCGACTATGATACAACTTTGGAGGAGGGAATATCACATCGGTGCAAGCGTATGGAAGAGAGATCTCCGGCGCGATTCCCCGTGCGAATGTTGAGTGCTGGAGTCGAGCGAGGCAATACAAATACGGCGCAGAGAGGGAAGAGAGAGAGAAAAAATAACTGAAATATATCCGGGGGACGGAGCCAGATAGGAGGAAGTAAAGGAGGGAAGCCGAAGGAACACAATTAAACAAACGCCGGGTGATCAGGCGAACTATAAACGGAGCCCACGGGAAATCGTCGCCGTCCACGCGGAAAGAAGAGGGGATCGTCATCTGTCGGGTTGCTCTTCGCTCAAATTCGAGTTCAGGTAGTCTCGAAATGGCCGGAGTAGCTCCGTTTTTCGGCAACCTCTCCTCGAATGTCACGAGCAGACTCGCCCTGGAACGCGGCGGTCGCTGCAAGGTTTGTTACTTTGCACCAAAACCGACGATGTCTAAGTGACATCTTCTACTTTAATCACGATCGCAGACTTGTTTTTCCTTGACGAATCCCTCGAAAATAAACGAACAAGCATACAGATACGTTCGTACAAATTATTCGCCGGAGAGACAGACAGACAATTAGTCGATCAGTTAGTTAGGCCACGAGTTGGGCGCAATTTAAAAATCTGCCGGTCCGACGGCGTGAGAACGATAAATTCGCGACGATTTGTCAGCACAAAATTTTGACAGAAAAACCGCAATTCCGGCGAAATTGCAGACAATACTTCACTTTCTAGATATGCGCGATGCAATTTCCCGCGTGTCTTGAGCGCGGAAAATCGATCGCGACGCGACTGAAAAACGCGAGAGCCCACGCGGTAGTTTTAGATATTCGCTCTTCGCGCATCTATTCCACTGCGAATTTCCGTGAAATGCGCCGGATTTTATTGTTTTCGCTCGTTATCTAAAAAATCCAAAGAGGACGCGATCCGGCCTGTCGTGCACGACGGCAGAATATTAGCATCGTTCTATCATTACTGCTCCATTTTCGCGTCACGTAATCGCGTCTCTTACACTTCACCGCGCTCTCGATACGAGTATCGGTGTTAATAAAACCACCAACCAAGCGAGTGCGTTACGAAAATGCGAGCAAGCGAGCGCGCGATAGCACTGTATAGGATCATCTATTTTCAAAGCCCTCGGCTTTCGCGGATCAATTATCTCGCCACGCGAAATTGGGTCTGCGAATTATCTACGGCCTGTTCGAAGCGGGAGAAATCGCGAAGAAACTATTCGATCGAGGCCGCGTGTAGAAACTGCATCGGTGGACAACGCAGGCATCCGAATCGGCTCCTGAGACGATCGAGATCTCTCCCCCATACGGGCCTTCTATTAATCCAATTAATCGCGAGCAAAATCGCCGAACGTATCGGACAAGAGAAGTCGGGGAGAAGAGGGAATATTGCGATGAATTTCCGAAGCTGCCCAGTGACGAAATTGCGTTTCACCGTCTGATGTTATTACCGGGTGTTAAGGCCTGAACAATAGTGTCTATTCGAGGAATTAGGGACACACACAGTATGCCGTGGCGGTACAAGCGCGACACGAGGAAACGATTTGATGCTTTGGGAAGGGAAGTCTGCTCTCGTAGGAGGGCACCGTGCCAGGAAGCCGATATTGCTGCGAACGAGACCCTGCGAAGCGTGTGTGTGTTTGTATGTGGGGTGCAACCAGCTCGTTGGTCGACAGTTAGAAAAGTCATGCGAAACTGATCGCCCCACGAGCGAAATTTCTTTCCTTCCTATAGGAAAGACCGGACGCGACGGGAATAATTGGACTTTCGGCGATAGCGGAGTCTTACTCTCGATCAGAGAATCGTGATGGAATGATTAACGACACTCATCTCGTTACGTTTGTTTATGTCGACTATCGCACTATTTGCTATTGTCAATGGATATGCTAATCACCGTCAAAAAGCCGTCCTCGATGCTCGCACTCGGAAGGACAGATGCCAGAGGACCGGTCTTCCCTGGTGGGTGTCGGATGAAATCCGACTTAAGAGAGAAAAAGAAATAGCTAGATGAGCGCGAACAAGCTTTGTCCAGCAAGGCGGACCTTTGGGAGCCTGTAGCGATCGTTGAACAAATCGTAAATCTCCCTCCTCCTTAGACGCGTATCAGTGAGAAAAAAAAGATATCAAAAGAAATAGAAACGAGGAAATATAGTTGAGGAAAATATTGATTGATATAATATTATAATATAATACTAATGATATAATATATTATAATGTAAAATATTATAATATTTATATTATCAATATAATATTATAATTATAAATTATAATATTATATTGATAATATAAATATTATAATATTTTACATTATAATATATTATATCATTAGTATTATATTATAATATTATATCAATCAATATTTTCCTCAACTATATTTCCTCGTTTCTATTTCTTTTGATATCTTTTTTTTCTCACTGATACGCGTCTAAGGAGGAGGGAGATTATAAATTATAAATTATAATATAAATTATAAATTAATTATAAATTATAATATTATAACAACAAATTATGATAATTATAATGTTATAATATTGTTATAATAGTTATTTCGTTAGTCACATTCCGTTTGACTAAAGATAGAACAGTTTTGAATATCTTGTTTTCCGTCGACGTCTCGAATCATGAAAATAATCGAATAGAGAATCTCGCGGGGAATTCCGAAGATAAGTTTCAGGCGAATCGCGACGACGCATCCTGACGAGATTATTTCTATATTAAGGCTTATTTACGATACACGGAGTAAGCTTGGTGTAAGTGTGGAGTAAGAAATAAAACTTGTTTATTTCGCTCCCTTACACCGAAAATGTTTCTTTTACTTAAGGCTTCGTCTACAATATGCAAGTAGTAAAAAGAGTAAGAATATGAAATAAAAATTTATTTTGCTTACGCCTTTAGCCTTCCCTTACGCCGAGTTTTTCTGTCAAATAAATACTTCCGGTGTAAAGGAGCTAGAGTAAGGGAGTGTAAGAGAGGCATGAGTGAAATAAACAATTATTGTCTCTTACACTCACGGCAAACATACTCCACGTGGCGAAAACGAGTCTTTAAGTGATAAGATCAGCACATGGAAAATAAGCAGTTTTCATATTATCGCATAAACTATCCTACGTAAGGAATACACAAAAACCATATCATTATAAGCTGAGTTCATTATCAGATATGCGCTCGTTGAGCACTCTTTATCAGAAATGACTTGACTTTTAGTCGACCGTAGCGAGCGACTGCAGATAGTCGATTCGGAAATTCAAACATATTAACGCGTGTGCCAAGTATATGTAATCACGTTGGTGTGGACTACGAATGCCTCGACGTTCGCTGGATGCATTTTCAAAAAGCACATATATCGTCACTGGAGATAGTCACAAGGTAGAAGCACTAATGCCTAAACACATACCTAAATCCTGCACATTCCTATTGACTTGTTCTTCAATACGAATATTTAACTTTCAAAACATGGAATGTACATATATTCTACACTGAAAGTTTAGATATTTGTATTTAACATGTTTGCTACCAGCATTACACATGTGCGACGTATCGATCTCTCACTTCAAGTTCATCTTTATGCAAACTCTGTGATTTTGCTTAATATGTTCGTCTTAACTAACGACATTTTTCTTTCGCATATAAATAAGTCAAGTTTGTTTCACACAATTACATGAAAAAAAAATGTAATATAGTCTATATAGAAGAAATTCCCAAACAAACAGTGATAGCGAACATATAAGACCAATAGACAATGTATAGAATTAGATACGCATTCTTAGATTAAATAGGCATTCTTAGATCAGATAGACATTCTTAGATTAGATTCTTACATCTTTAGTTTAACTATTCTGTGTGACTTTGCTGTGTAAAGAAAATATTCTCATCACACTACTCGCAGTAAAAAAAGTAACTGACAGGTAACAACCAATGATTAACGTTTGCCACGTAAGCAAAACGCAACGTTAAGCGATAGAAGCATAATTTTATGATAAACGGGTCTGTGAGGAAGACGATTTAAGTGAAATTTTCGATTCTCAAACGTCGTAAATAACATAACGTTTTGCGCGAGTTGTGGTTATTTTGCAATATATTGTTATTGTTCACAGACACAAAGTGGCGCACTTACGCGACGACCTTAAAAAAAAAAAATCAATGAAACACTTGCCGTACTTTCAAGCACTAGCGATTGAAATTGCGGCTCACGACGATTCTAACGATGAGTGACTGCGTTCTCACTGCGGGAATGTCGATTTATCTGTTTAGGGGGGTCACAGAGGGATGTGGCATTTAATCTTCTTCTTAATCAGCGCTGCGATGGCCGGTGAATCCGGACAGGAGCCGGAGTTCTCCGAGCCGCCAGTCGAGATCTCACCGTTGCCTTACGAAGAGACATTTCCGACTCCGCTTCCCGGTCTGCTGTATCCCAGAGAAAGTGAATCCCGAGAGGTAAATCTTACGTGATGTCGGTCTTTTAACGCCACTTGAACTTGGCTCTAGACGGTAACCGGTTCACGTGCGTTATTTTCGTATGAGATGTAATCCGATAGCTCGTATCGATAGATAAACTTGTTTTTTATGAGATTTTTAAGAGTAAGAATATTAATCTAAAAACTATTTCAAATAAAAAACTCGAGAGAACAAAAATAAATAACTAAATATATTAATATTCCAATTTTTAATACTTTGCAAGTCTATTATTAGTGAATGTCTTAACATACTAAAACATACAGTAATTTTTTTATATTAAAAAGTCATGGAAGAATATTAATTTATCTTTTACAAAAAAATTATGTAAAAATACACAATATAATAATAAAAGAAATCAAGATATAAGACAAAAAAGCAATTATTATTTACACAAAATTCTTTATACAAAAAAGTTTTTATATAATCAAGTAAGAAATTCAGTAATAATAGGCTTGTGAAACATTAAAAATTTGAATAATATTAATATATAATATTAATGTATGTATTTAGTTATTTATTTTTATTTTCTCGAACTTTTTATTCAAAATAATTTTTAGATCTTTATATCTTTTAGGTTTTTTCCGCTAATTTGTGTGAAAATATAATAATAATAATAAAAATTGTAGTTGGATTTCACAAAATTACCGCGTCACTATAGGGGCTTCCCAGATTGTAAGAGTAATCATTTTTTCGTTCTTTTGATAGGTGAGATCACTCGACGGATTATGGGACTTTGTTGTGTCTCCTGTGGGAGACGCGCTGAAGGGTTACAGAGAAGGATGGTTTGCCGACGATTTATCAAAGGTACAGCAGTAATAATTCAATAATCTTTTGTACTAAAACTAAAATTGTCGTCATGTAAAAATAAAATCTTCCCAAAGATCCATTCTAATGGAGAAGCGCGACGCAATGTTGCCGAGCAAATGAAAAAGTCAATTCCCAGAAGATAGTAGAAAAGAACAAGATACTACGATTACGTAACACGAGGCAGAGGGACACTCGATTATTAATTTCACGCGAAGACTCCGAGAGGGAATTATTGCTCGCGGCGTTCAGGACTGGTTAAAATTCTACGTGCCTCGCTCTCCCTACAATAATGTAAAATACCGAGCGTTGAGCCCAATAATTTCTCCGAGAATTTACCAACGCGGCGTTTACACGGAGAGCGTCTCAGAGAAGATTAAAGAACTCTAACTTCTTACGAGACTCTTCTTAAGTTAATTTCAGCGCTACTTATTTCGATATCTCTATTCTTCATCACCATTACCTGCAAATTTTGCTGCGTAAAGTATACACTGAAAAAAAAATATTTAGAAACTAACAGATATTTATTAGTTGGATACCATTAACATATTTACTTAAATCAAAATTCTCCTCATTTAAACCGAATATTGTTTACTTGAGTCTAGTAATTAAATTAAATGAAAAGGATTTTGATTTAAGTAAATATGTTAATCTATTTAATAAATAAATATAATAAATATTTGTTAATTTTTAGATAATTTTTTCTCAGTATACTTTCCAACTCTCTGGCACTTTATCTCTATTCGCGTCGCAAGAGTCGCGTGTAATTAATTTAATCATACGTAATTGCATGTTGCTCGTTCGTCCCAAAATTAGCAAGATCTCGCTCACGCAAGACCTACCTTTGCAGGTCGGCGAGATGATCAAGATGCCGGTACCGTCATCCTACAATGACATCACGACGTCACGGGATCTCAGGGATCATGTCGGCGCTGTGTGGTACCAGAGGACATTTTTCGTACCTTTCTCTTGGAAGGATCAACGGGTATTCGTGAGATTCGGGTCGGTTAATTATCTCGCCCAAGTGGTAAGCAACCTGGATTGGGATACACAGTTGGTTTATTAAATAGTTATCTCGAGAGGAAATTAATTGCGCGCTTTTGTCGGAGATTACACGTCATGCGCGCCCTCAGTGACCCCGTCGGATCGCAAAGGTCAACGGGCTGTATCCTGACTGTACGCTCAGCGTTAAATGTGACCGTTCGTCTCCGAGCTTCATCTACTCTCCATCTTCGCAAACGAGATGGAGAAAAAGAAAGGAACGGTGACATTTAATGTTGAACGTGTAGTCAGAGTACGTGAACCAATATGATTCACGAGCGCTTTCGCGTCGTTAGTGGATAAACAACAACCTGGTGACTAACCACGAGATGGGCCATCTGCCCTTCGAAGCGGAGATCTCGTCGTATGTGATCTTCGGCGGCAAGAATCGCATCACTGTCGCCGTGGATAATACCCTGCTGCAGACCAGTGTTCCTCAGGGTAAGATCCTGGAGGCGCCCACCGAAAACGGCACCGTGCACCTGCAGACCTATACCTTTGATTTCTTCAACTACGCCGGTATACACAGGTGAGACGAGGAAACGGTCATAAATTTAATACAGCCGTTCATCTTCGACTCTTCACTTGAGACAATTTTAAATTAATCATTTTAATTTTGCCATCAACTTTTTGAGCTTACGAATGAAAAAATAAATGGATAGATGAATGAATGGATGGATAAATTGAAGCGGATAAAAGCGTTACGTAAAAAATCGAATTTTCAATTTCCAATTTTTGAACACGCCCAGTGTTAGTTAAAAAATGCAGGCCCGATAAGATCAGATCGGATAAAGGGAAAATATGCGACACGTGTAATCGCGTTGTCCCGATTCACTGCCACATACGAGGGACTTTTCGGGTTCTCTGAAGCGACGCGAATTTCACTCGCCACAAATAGATCCATATCACGGCCTTTGTGGAAAAATTCAAGAGAACATTCGATGCGTTACGACGATCGCGATCGCGTTCACGAGATTTCCGCTATTTCGCGGAAAAAAAGAGGTTTCGGTTCTATGACGCTGAAAAATGGAAATGGACGATCCGCGTTCACGGAGATTATCTCCGCGTGTATGATATTTCGGAACAATTAAATTCAGATCCAATCCGGCGATTTAAACAACCTTCGCGCGACACAGAGAAATATGAACAATACATAAAAAAATGTATTCATATGTAAAAAATGATAACTACCGCTTGATGTCTTGGTGAAGGCCCGTTTTATTGTACACCGCGCCGCGCGTTTACGTCGAGGACATCACGGTGAGGACGAGCCTGATCGGTGACATGGGAATCGTCAAGTACATCATACAACCGGCCGGATTGCGCGAAGGGGAGACACCGATCTGCAGTGTCACGTTGCACGACGCCGAGGACACTTTGGCTATCAAGGAGCCTGTCTACGGCCTGTCCGGCACCTTGAAGGTCCCACTCGCCAGGCTCTGGTGGCCCAGGGGCATGGACCCCAAGCCGGGATACCTTTACACTTTGGAAGTATGAAACCATACAATACAATACAGAAATTAATTATAGAAATCTCGATATAATCATATTAAGTCATTTCATTTGTTTCTTATCGCGATTACAAATTATAATAAAAGAATTCTAGTATTGTGTTGAAATACGTAATTCAGCAATTAAAATTTGTGTTTAAAATTGAGAAATATTTCTACTCAACTATATATGAATTTTTACTCAGTAAATAATTGATAAATGGATACTCAGACTTTATTCGCAAAAATGGCGTTTGATCTTTTTTTAAGGTAAAGCTGTCAGTGGCAAATGCCACTGCCAAGCCGGATATCTACCGATTGCCAATCGGCATCAGGACCCTCATGTGGACCAACACGAGTCTTCTGCTGAACGATCGGCCAGTATACATGCGTGGTTTCGGCAGACACGAAGATTCAGCCATCAGAGGACGCGGCTTTGACTTCGTGACTGCTGTCAGGGATCACGAGCTGCTTCAATGGATAGGCGCTAACGCTTACAGAACCAGCCACTATCCTTACAGCGACGAAGTCCTCGACATAGCCGACAGGTACTGGGAATTTTCCATGTGATTTCCCGGGATATATCTTGATATACTCCGATAAATATATCATCAATTCTGAAGCGTCTTTGTCTCATTTAAAAGACACGTGCGTACTTTGCAGACTCGGCTTTCTCGTGATTGACGAGTGCCCGTCAGTCGACACGGAGAATTTCTCGCCGCCCTTACTCTCACGTCACAAGGATTCGCTATCAGAGCTCATCCGTAGAGACAAGAATCGGCCGTCAGTGATCATGTGGTCCTTGGCCAACGAACCGAGGACCCAGCTACCTCAGGCGAAGGAGTACTTCAAGCAGATCGCTCACCACACAAAAGCAGTTGACCCAACCAGGCCGGTTACTATCGCTCTGGCTCGAGGAGTGCAGGTAACACATTGCGATTAACCGATATTAATTACGATTAACGCGATTAACTAAAAATTAGTATCAAATGAGAAAGAAAGAAAAATAGAGATAGTAAAATATATAGAAGAATAAATATATATATCTGTATCTGTATCTTTATTTCCAACTTCAGCTTCGCGCCAAGTTATTATGTTCTTTTCCTTATATCTATACACCTTTTATCTTTCTACATTTTTCCTTTCCTCGCATCTTAACCTATTTATGTCTTAACTAATGTCTAACTTATAATTGTCTTACTTATAAATTATTTAACTTATACTATTTAACTTATTATAATTAATTACTTTTATTTAACTTATTATAATTAATTACTTAACTTATAAATATCTAATTAATATCTATTCTTTTTCCTCCTTCCTCCTTTTATTTCTTTCTTCTTTGCTTCCTTTTCTTCCTTCCTTCTTATATATATTTCTTTATCCTATACGTATCTTATCCTATACAGGCAAATTTCTTTCCTTTTTAAGTTTCTTATCCTTATATTTCTTATCCTATACCCTCGGATGTTTAGCCACGTCTATCGTATATATATACATATATATATAGAAAGAGAGAAAGAGAAAAGGCTATTAAGAGTCAAAATTAGAAATTACATAAACGAGTTAAAAAGTAATATCCTCTCGATTTATAAATGATTACTGCTTTTGTAATTTCTAGGAAGACAAGGCTGGTCAGTTTCTCGACGTGATCAGCTTTAATCGTTACAACGCTTGGTACAGCAATGCCGGCAGACTAGACATGATTACTGACAGGGTTCAAGGGGAAGCCGAGGCCTGGCACAGGAAATATAACAAGCCGGTGCTCATATCAGAATACGGAGCTGACACTATGCCGGGCTTGCACGAGGTATATTAATATTTTGCTAAATATTTTATTAGTATAATAATATCAATATCTCTCTTTATATATATTCTGTTATATTGTCGTAATTGTTTTTTTTTCATTAAACGTTTAACGTTTCTTGCAGCTACCGGAATACGTATGGAGCGAAGAGTACCAGAAAGAATTATTGTCTAGACATTTCGAAGCCTTCGATCGATTGCGATACGACGGCTTCTTTATCGGCGAATTTATTTGGAATTTCGCTGATTTCCGCACCGCGCAATGTGAGTACAATAAATGAAACGGAGTCGCGTAATAATTTATAGACTTCTTTAAAGTCTGTAAATTCTTCTGATCCCACTGCTGCGGAATTTTGGATTGATGACGTCAGAAGCGAGAAAATGCATGCCAAAAGTCCTTGCAGTGGGACCAGAAACCTTAATTTACAAAGAAAAAACATCTGGAGGAAATTAGCTCGTGATATGATTTTTATCAATAATGTTTCTTGGTATTTGCGCGTTGCAGCGTATACCAGAGTGGGCGGAAATAAAAAAGGGATCTTCACGAGGGACAGACAACCGAAAATGGCAGCACACCACGTTAGGAGGAGATATCACGCTCTCGAGGCTGAACTGGACCGCGCACAAATACCAAAAGACGTCGAAAGTTACGTTTCATCCTACTACTTTCAACATTCAGAGCTTTAATCACAAGAAAAAAAAAAAAAGAAAAATCAGAACGTGAGAGTCTCAACTATTTCTTCACAAAATAAAGCTGCGTTTTGTTCCTTTTATACATCATCACGTAAAGGTTGCACTGATAACTTAAGGTAACATTCACCTAATACGTAATCTATCTTAAGATCATCTCCTCATAAAGTATACAAACACTTCATTCATATCTAAGATACATTCATATCGTTTATATCTGTTTAAGAAATATATATGTATGTAAAAAGAAAGATATTGTTTTCTCTGACAATTATCCTTTGTACACACATATCCTTTTGTATACTTTTTATACATATATATTACATAGTTACACAGTTCTGTATAATATATAGTATAATATAGTATATAAATGAATATAGTAAATATAAATGTATATAAATATAGTATATAAATGAATATATAGTAAATATAATATAGTATAATATAGTGATGCATTCATAGACCATTCAGCATGGCCTATTCTCCTCTGGCAGCTCCACAATCTTCAGACAAATATCAGCAAATTCAACAAATATTGGTTCTCTCATAGCTTTGTGAATCGCTGAGGTAGGATCATGACTAGTTGCAACATCCTTTATCATTGTGCGTACGTGAGGATTTGCAAGACACTGCTTCAACTCGTTGCTATGACGTAATCGTTCCAACTTTTCTATGGGCACAGTGTCCATTGTTGGAAATAAATATTTCTGTTTGATATTGCTGACAGGTTCCTGAGGATTCTTGAGACTTGCAGATTTCTCAGCTTCATTCCGAGGTTCACAGGCTTGATCCTTGTGCTTTTTGTAGCATGTGCAAGAGCAGCTAAAATAAATAAAATATTGATATGTGGAGCGTTAACTATGCCTATCTAAAAAAATAACATAACCTCACAGGCAAACGTAATGTTAAAGAAAGTACGTCAAAATTTCCACGGAATAATTAGTTGAAATTTAACCTATAAATTTTTGTTTGGATGGTGTCATCCGTATAGAGATTTTACTCTGCAGAAGAAGCTGAAGACACAGCGACAAAGTTGCTAAACTTTTCAAAATAAGATAAAATGTAATGTCAAAGTGGTTTTACTTACTAAAGTTTTTCGCACGTGGGACATTTGTAATAAGGGTTTTCCCTCTTGCAAATGCAGCAAATCTTAACTTCTTTAGTTGCAGACATTATTATATCATTAATAAACTCAAATTGAATTGCGTAGCGTCGACGTACGTGCATACACCAGAATTGTTTACGTCACGTGACGATCGTGATGATCATGTGACATGCAACCATCTTCACACGTGACACTTGCGTCATCTGTGCTGTGAAGAAGTAAATAAATTTAAATATCTCAACCTCAAAATGGTTCAGCAGGACTCTTGTAAAAAGTGATTAATTTTCGTGAATTCTTGTTAATCGCAATGCTTGTCGAGAAATGAGATTCGAAAGCGGAAAGTCTGGTGAGTTAATACTTCAATCTTTCATAAAATACTTATTCAATGTAATCTCTGTATTCACAGAAAGAGAGAGAGAGAGAGAGAGAGAAAGAGAGAGAAAAAGGGAAAACGAGAAAATGCGTAATTAACATATAAGGTTAGGTCACATTAACATTTTTTGTTATATCTTTTATCTTTCACCAATTCTAATAAGTTCTTCTTGTTAATATTAGTAGTTTTTAAGAACATCTAATGTGTCAACCTTATAATTGCCGAATTTTGAATTGAACTAATACCAGATCTTTAAATGTCAGAAACAGACGTGATACTTTTAGTAAAAATTAGGAAAGTTTTTACGACAAGACCTGCCAACGATGTTTCGGAATTCCACAGGAGTTTATCAAAGTTCGATACCTCGTGGCTCCAGACGCATGTAACATCAGTGTTAGGAAAGTAGCGTTTAGAATTTGCGTTCGCACAAACAGCGGCCGCTGCCAAAGAGAGAAATTGCGGAGCAAGACGATGGCGGATTTCAAGGAGGAGGCGGAACTGGCCTGGATCTCTAAATGCGATCTCACGGATAGCACCGATGGAAATTCGCATTCTTGCGGTAGGTGAATACGTCACGCATGCCGGACATAGTGCGTCAACCGGGCTGAATGCACAGTTTCAACGTGATTTTATTTCGCGTCACGCCAATCGCGCGAATCCCACCACTTCAACGATTTTATTTTCGCGAAAGGCAAATCGTTTTAACGCAACGCAAATCGAGTTTCGCTCCTATTTTAACGCGATGTCGGGACTAAATTTTTTACTCATTTAAATATGAGTCTTTTACCGAGCAAAAGCACGTCTTCATGCAACATATTTCTCGACTCGAGCAAAACATTCACGAAAGTCTGATGTACTCGCAATTAACGTTAATATTTTATCATGGCTTAGCTTATTAGAGCTAAAATGACTTTAAGCTTGATCTACAATGTACTCCATGCTTCCTGTTCCTTATTCTCCACCTTCCAACAAAAATCTAAAGGTTTAAGTTAGAAAGACATGAAGAGAAAGGAATAAGAAGCAAAGAACACATTGTAGATCTGGGTTAACGGTTATTTATGAATATCATCCATATAGCGCAAAAATATTACACCAACATAAAATTTAAGAAACATTTAATTGTTGTTAAAGATGATAATGATGTTATCATGACATTGAAATGTGAAGTCTGATCTATAATGTGCTCTTTACTTCCTGTTTCTCGTTCTCTATTTTTTTCTGGCTAAAATCTAAAGCTTTAACTCACAAAGAAGGAAAAGAAAAAAATGAAGAAAAAGAAATAGGAAGCAAAGAACACATTGTAAAAATCTTGGTCTTATTTCCTAAGACCTTTAATAAATCTTAAACCCAAACATTAACATTGTCTTGGTTGATTCAAGGTTTCTCTATGGTTTTAAATCAGTATCATTTCAGTATTCATTAAAATATAACTACCTTATTTAAATTTATCTTAACTTATCTTAAATTAATGTTTTAGTAATATCAATGTATATGATAAAAAAATGACTACAACATTGTATTCCTGTGCAAAAAAAGAAATTTAATTTATTAAGATATTATAACAATATTTTAGTAACAATAACATGTTGACTTTAATGATATGTGGATAATATTAATAACTAAAACATCTGAAACTACATCACAGAAGGAACAAAATCTGAAATCTAATCGCATGATATCAGGAGGAAATATAATTCTCTCATCAAAAGAAGAAAAAAGATAGGAAGAAAGATTTTAGTTTATATCAGTTAATAAGAGTTTACGTTAATTTATTAACTTATATTAATTTATATTAATTGTATTAATTATTAATTTATATCAAATTATTTATTAATGGGAATTTAAAATTGATGATAGATAAATAGACAAGGGAAAAATTAAAAGAGAAGAAAAAAAGGTAAAAAAATAGGAATGAAATGATGTGAATGATTTTATATATATGTATGTACATATATGAATATAAAAACTCCGGAAACCATTCAAAGCTGAAAGGCATGGATTAAAAATACTTAATTCTTTCACTAGACAAAAGTATACAAAATCTAGTCATTATATTAAATTATATTATATATTATATTAAAATGAAATTTATTTCAGGTTGCGTTAAAATAAAATTAGATCCGTGTATAAAAACTTTGGGATCAAATTTGACTTTCCTCAAGATTTGCATATTCGAGGTGTTCCGTTTCAAAAATTCACGAAAAAAACGGAGAATTGAAGTGAATGCCCGAGACGAACATCAGCATCGCCGTCGTCGTCTTCGTCGTCGTCGCCGTCACTGAAAGCTCTCGACGTTGAAACTTTCTTCCCGTGGCCGACCATGAGCGGCGCTCGCTCGCCAAGGTCATTGATTCCACTGGCAGTTCCGGCTTGGTTTCTGGGCCAGGTTAACCGACGGGCCCGCGACGGCGACGTCCGGAATACCTTCGCTCGCCGTGACGTCGGCCCGGCCTGATACGGCAGGCCGGTAACAAGCCGGCACGCAGTGACGCATTTAAAGCCGCTCGGGCCCTAAGCCATGACGACGATATGAGAGCTCTTCTGCCTCGGCACAGACAATTAAACAGTGATGAAATTAATTTGTAAAGTAGACGAATGCGTGACATTCGCTTGATTCGTAAAAGAAGTGCGTATCGCGCATCTGAGATCTTCACATCGCGAATAACTCATAAAATATGCACAGGTATTTCTTTCAAACGACGCGAGACCTTGTTCACGATGTGGGATCCAGAGCTACAATGTGTTCGTTTCAGGTGTAAGTCCGGCACTGCTGATACTATCAAGAACCCGCTCGCGGATGTTCCGTCGTGCAGAATGCGAGTCGGCCGTTCATTCACGTCCAAGTTCCCGTTCAGCAGCTGTGCATTGGCGCAGCGACACGTGCACCGCGCGAATTCAATCCTCTCGATCCTGGAAGAGAATCCCGAGATCTGTCGATTTGGGAACAACTCGCACGTCGTGGTAGTCGCATGAAATCGAGCCCTCAACATTAATCCGGAACTCCTTAGGGTGACTCGCGTTCGTCAAGGAGATCTCTCATCTCAGGCTGCGATGACAGCATCCGGCGCTCGCGGATGACATCATACGGCACGGCGGTGGCGGTGGCAACGATGATCGCGTACGATGACGTCGGCAATGATCGCGAATCGGCAGGAGGAGGAAGGAGTGAAACCCCGGAGCAGCCGTGCCGACAGGAATCGCGACGGCAATTCGTGGGGCCAGTTTCTTTCGGTTCGCCGTGTCGTCAGCTTCTCGCCGGCTGGTTCGCGATTCAAACGAACGAATGAACGGAGGAAACGCCGGTCGTCGATCCGCGTCGCCGAACGCTGGCGCATGACAGTGACCCACTTACCGGTTCCGGCATTCGCATCGCGATCATTCCCGCAACGGCAATCGGCCTGCATCGACGTTGATCGATCGAGCGAAATCGGTTGACCGGAGTAACGCAGAGAGCAAGTCAACGCCGAATCGAAATCGGACGACGGCTACGCTTAACATCGAGCGCAATCGATCCTTCATGTTACACCGGCAGTCACAAGTGGCGATACCGCAATTAACGGTGAATCCTCAGTCAACCATTCGACACGGCATTAGAGTCACCGCGAAATCAAATAACGTCGTACGTAAATCGAGCTCGGAATTAAACGGCAACATTCGAACGCTATCTCGGCTTCTCAATTTGCCGTTTAGTCGATATTGAGTGAGATGTCAAGTCTTGAGGAAGTCAAAAATAAAAAACGGTCGTGATTTATACTCGACTCTCAGAGCGCGATCATAGTCACAAGTATAACTTTTTGTGGAACATATCATGTGAGTTTAACGTGAAACACGAGGTCTGTTCTTTTTCGAGGGACTTTCTGAATTCGTGTACATTGGTGCAATAAATTAAACAAGTACATTTTGTTTCATTCTACCACTCAGGCAACACATACCTCCAATAGACGTGTTGCGAACGTTCTGAAGACATTCTTATGTCCTCAGAACGTCCTTAAAAGTTAGTGCTGTCTGGATAGTTCAAAAAGTTTCTCAAAAAAGAACAGACCAACGGTTTGTGCGTCTAATCATGCGACATTCGCCATTAGAATCGACGTTTTGATAATCGCAGGCGGGGAATCAGTTGAACTTAGTGCAGCAGGTGATAAGCGGCCGTGTTGGAAGCGCTCCGTGTACTTTTCAGTCACAGTTGTACTCGTCGTTCGACTCGAATCGTCGCACGACGTTATCTCAACGACGTTATCACCGGCTGAGAATTAGACGGTCATGTCTAGCACTAAATGCGGCTGCGCCGCCGTCTCATCGTCGATGATTCAAGGATAATTAATTCAGTATACTACCACAATATATTCAAATCGCGATTCGACGTCGCGCTTAGGCGAACCTCGAAAATCAACGTCTCAATATTTAACGAGAAAAATCCAAGAGAAAGAGAGAGAGGGAGAGAGAATTCGTTCAACGCCAAATGCAGCGTGTAAAGCGCGGACGGTTTCGCAAGATAATCGCATGGGTTTTTACAGTGTTGTTTGTGCAAAAACGCGATTAACGTAATAATTAATGATAATGGACTAGTTTGAAATGTAATCTCTTTTTCTTCGATCTTGACCCAGAAGTGAATCTCGCTTGGCCGCGGATTGTCACGGAATATCGTCGCTAATATGAGACCAGGCTTCGTCGGCACGTGACTTTTGTATCTACATGGAGAGAATTTTGTAGTAAGACACGCTGTAGAATTTCCTAAGCGAGAAGTATCGTCGACATTCTCTCGAGATTGACCATCATTTCTTCTCATGTGTGCTACTTATGTTTTAGGAACTATGAAACGTGCTGTTGAAAAAAATCGCTGCATTTCCAGCGGAATTTATTATGTGTTCCTTAGCAAGATGACAATCTAGCACTACCAGAAACATTAGTAAAATTGAAGAGTTTCTATGAAAAGGGACTGCAATATTCTCTCTGTGTACGATTGTTTTTTCGGGCTTGCAAAAGTCGTCTTACAACGAGATGCATTTGCGTTCTCAAGCTTGGCACAAACGTGTCGGTCTTGCGCCAAGCCGGACAGTCGCAGTGAGACGATCGTACTGTTATATTCTATATCTCAGAAAGACACCATGACCGGTAACGAGAGAGGTTTGCTTGGCACGTACACGCCGCGGGCGTAGGAGCTCCGTAGAAATTCAGGAAGGCGGTAATTTAGTCCACGCGCTGTGCCGTCTGCGTGCCAGATTTGGCGAAAAACACTTGTTCCAATATGCGGGATCCCATGTGCCTCTCCGTCGCGTCGTTTCGGTTTTCCCGTCGATTCTAGACGAATATGCGAATCATCGCGCCGGATCATGTAAACGGTATGTGTTGACCCTTTCCTAACTCATTTTTCGTATCACGCGTTGTTACAAAGATTCCTCGAATGTAGAGCGAGCTATCGTTCGCGCTTTTCCTCTCTGAGATTTAATTCGAGTGGTTCTCGAATGATTGGAGTCAGATTATGAAATCGCGTCGTTACATCCTGCCATAACTAACGCAGGATCAGGACAAAGTCCGTTTGTCTCTCCTTTTCTCTCTCTCTCTCTTTCTCACTCGTTCTCTTTCGCTCACTGTTCGGAGAATGACTCGTGGACTCGAGTTCATCGACGGAAATACATCGCGCGAGTCAGAACACCTTTCCGATGTTCGCCTAAGTAACATTAACTATATAGCTGTACACACCTATATATCTTTGACAATAAAGCGGTAAGTAGTTGTAAGTAAGGTCCGTTCAGCAAGTGTTTCATAGCGACGAATAAAGCAATCATATTACTTTACTTGACACTTTGAAGCATTGGCAGTGTCAAACAAACCTTGCAATAACTTAGAGCTAAACGATCTAGATTTTCCTCAATTCGAGAGGCGCATTTGTTCGACTCGATCGACTGTCAAATCTCTCGTATGTGGCCAATTTGAAAAATCTCGCAATTTATCACAGTGCGAATATTGACAATTGTGTGACACGTTGCTACAAAACAATTGTACAAAGACCGACGGGTCTCTTCAGAAGAAGAAGAGGAAAAGAACGAGAAGTAATCGGTCCATCTTCGAGATTTTTTGGAATATCGGCGAGACGCGTCGCCGTCGCGACGATGGCCGCCGTCACTGCCACCTCCGCCTCCACCTTCCGCCTTGAACCGTGACACTGCGATAAAAACGTCGGCCGTTAATTGGCCCGGGTACACGCGGAGCCATGCACGGATTTACGTAACACGTGAATTCGTGAGACTCGCGCGATAACACGAACGATATCGCGACGTGTCTGCCGGCCGACAATTTATTTTCGTAATTAGTCGCTCGTGTTCGGAAAAGCCTCCCTTCCCCTCCTCCAAAGAAAGCAACATCACGAGATTGTTTTCCAAGTGAGTGCGCTCATCGCGGAATTACCATCGGGGAATTCAATTTTTCGGGGAGCTTCGCGGATTCCGTAAAGATGGATCTCGAGACTTCATCACCTCAGGTGGACATTGTTTCCTTTTGTTTTCTTCTCATTCGTCATCTTTACACCGTGTATTTCCTCCGTAATTTAATGTGCCTTAAAATTGCACAATTATCGGTGATTTCTTCTTCAAGTTGCTTAAAAAAGTCGAGAACGAGAACAAAAAATATCAATCCCGTAATTTCATTTCACATACGATATATTACCTTTATTCTATCTATTAATTTTCGTTTCTTAAACATTGCATTGTTGAAGTTGAAAATTGTGACCCGTTTAATTTTACCACAAATCTCAAGACTCTTCAGCGACGTGTGCTCGCAGATAAGCGAGTAACTTTATTGCGCATTGGCGGAGGATTGACAAAAGATATTTTCATGAACTAACGTGTATTTTACAAATTTACTTCTCGCTTTTCATTCTTTCTCAAGTGATCGACGCCCGTCTGCTCAGCCTTATATCGCCTTCGGCGCTCTCAATACCGATATTACCAGAATTAGAAATCCGATACCGGCTCTTAAGATTGCTGATGTTCGAAGACAAAACTTATATCGCCTTCGGCCACACGGATTGCATGAGCTAAAAAGAAGCCGACAAAGTTCTCGGAAGAATTCGACTGACTCAATATCGTCATGGATTTAATAACGATCCTTAGAGCGAGCGATGCGTCCGGTCGAAGTCTTCATCGGCCGTGATTGTGAGTAGCGGTCGGTGGGACTTTCGTCCGTTTGCAGAACTCGTCCACCAACGATCAACATATCATTTCAACATAATCAACGTTTCCAAACGTCTTGAACAAAGGATCTTGTAAAAAAATATAAATTAATCTTAGATCACACATATGATATAGAATCAATATTTTCTTCTATAAATAATGTTTTGTAAATTTATCGTCGACTTATACATATATATACACAATTCAAGTTAAAAAGAACCTCTCACTCTTTTTTCCCCCTCTTTCATCTCTCTCATTTTTCGATTTTATTTTCTCTAATAAACATGGTCGTTTCATCTCCCTCCGTATCTTGTAATACATAAAATATATTATCAAAATCGCTTTGTAAATTGTACAATTCGCCAAAAAAGATAACGTCAAATAACAATGATGCTTCACTAAGGTAAAGTTCAATTTCTTGATTCTTTCTCTTCTACGTTTCTCAATTCTATCATGTTGCTAGAGCTTAATTGGAAAATTGAAATTTTAATCAGAAATTATAGAAAGCTCCTTTTTAGAATAACTAACAGTAAGAATTGAAGAGGCAAATAAGAAGTACAGCACGGATGTCTTAGTGCTATTAAATACTAATATTACTTTTATATAATATTAATATGATAGTGGGAGGATAATTATGTCCAGCATGTCAAACGCACGTATCGAAATTTTTCTTCGATTAACGTACCCGGCGAATCTACCTTTCATACTTAGACCGCAACATATATAATGAATCTATTTGAGTCATCGGTTTAATGGGTTTTGGGAATTTTAAATATATATATATATATATATATATATATATAT